TCCTTCACCATCACATAGCAAACCTCTGCTGTTGTTTCAGTTAGCTCAAGTGACAGGGGCTTCAGAAAGTGACCTTAAGTTATCAGTTGTTAAGGATGTCAATGTGATCCTACATAACTGGTTTATTTTTCCTTAAGCTCACCTTTCCTCTTTGAGGCCTAGGAACATAATTCAGAAAAATATTTTAACACAGTACTATTGAACTGTTAAGGTCAAAGACTTTTAAGTTGTTTAAAATAAGCACAGCATTTTGAGGTATGTATCAGGTCAAAAATATGAGGTTATGCCACTGTATGAATTTAACCCTGTTTTTTGTACAGTTTGTCCTGTCATGCTGTATTAATTTCTATTTTGTATCGAACAGTGAACTCAATCTCCAGCTTGATTTTTAGTACGCTGAGATACAGTGTTTAAAATACCTGAAAATGGTTCCAACAAAAAAATAATTGTCTGCATCCTTCTTCAGCTACACATCCTGCAAAGAAAATTACTATGACAGGAAACATATAACTTTCAGAGATCTTCTCTTTCTTTAGAAAGTCCTCCTTTCCTACTCCAGCAGCTGTGGTTCACCCTGTCCCTCTCAAGCTCCTAGAGGTAGGTCCGTTCAAGCTAAGGAGTGGCCTTGGTAATTTAAATACCGCTTGCAAAATCAGATTGTATTTTCACATTTCCATTTAGCAATGGGTCCTCATCTGAGTGTGACTCAAGCTTCTGTGCTGTTATGTCTTGTTTAGCTCATAAACCTTAAAAGAGATTGCTTTCCTCCTGGAGAGACCAGGCAGAACTGGGTTACAGAACAACCCAAACCTATGGGCACATAAGAATTGCCTTGGTTATGGGGCTGTCGTTTTGTATTTACAGTCTGCCCAGCTACAGGCATGGAACACAGCCATACACTTGGCTTTTTCATCTTTGTTTTGGTTGCACCAACACCTATAAATGAAACAAAAAAACCAGAAAAGGATTTTTGATCTTAACCGCTGCTGAGCCTTTGCCCAGCTGTACAACTTCTGGCTTTCCCTCATATAATTGTGGAAGGACCAGAAGCTCGATCCTCAGTCATATATGAACCCTCCCTTCAGCCAGGGAAAACAGTAGTTCTTATGAGGAGCCAAACAATACAGATGATAAGGCCACAAGAAGCCATTGTGATCATATGCTCCTGCATAACATAAAGCAAAGGGCTTCCTTAAATTATCTTATCTTTGAGTTATAGTGTCTATTACAGGATAATAAAAGATTCCATTTTGCCTGTTCCACATTAAATACATGCTGCCTTGTTCCCAGTCTGAACCAGCCCGTCTTGAGTTTTACCCACTGCAGAATATCAGGCGCTTGTTAGCTGCAGTGAAGAGGTCTACAGTGAAGAGATCTGGTCCTCAGTTTGCCTTACCTGCCACACCTGAACGACAGGATAACTCCACTGAATGGTGTCATCTCAGCAGTGCAGCTCCAAAAAAACCATGGACTTTAACAACACCAGTCATCAAAGACCCCCCTGGCTCCTTACAGAGCATTGCTGAGAGAGACCATTCCTTTCAAAGCCTGTGGGGATTCGTAGCAGGAAAGACACGATGACTTTCAAAACACTGAAAATTGTTTATAATTGATGTGGTCACTTATAAATAGCTCCCACTTGATGTGGCTAGCTTAATTAAGTAGTACAGAGCGTGTGCGGTCACTCACCTCAGATAGAAAAATCTGTATTGGGCCTTCACCCTAACGTGAATTTCCTGACCTGACAGATGGGGATTGAGTGTCTGTTTATGCCAAGAGGAGTTTGCTAACATTATTCCTCTAATTACTAATTATACCAGTGAAAGGGGCTTTACGGCCAGAGTCCTGGATACGTGAAACTTGATCATCAGAGATTTGCAGGAAAGATGGAAGATTGATGGGTGACATCAAACAGCTGACAAGGAGACCAAGGCAGCCAGACGGACAGCAGCTGCTCCAAGGGGCTTTGTGGGTGGGAGGGGGCAGCTGCTCGGGGGGACAGGGTTCTGTGGGGGAGCAGCACTAAGGAGAACAAGCCATTTTAAAATTTCGCACCCCCCTGTCATTTCAGATATGCATGGGTCTAATCTCCTCGGGCTTGAGGCTGCCTGGGAGAGCGCATCCCCCAACAGGTGGTAAGGCAAGGGCAGAGCAGCAGGGCCGAAGGCAGTTGCTGCTGCAGAGGGGCACCAGCTTCAGCTGCAACAGAGGACTCCACAGGATGCTGTGAACAGCGGATCAAAGAGGAGGTGAGGATGTAAAACAGCTCCTCTGGGCCTCAGGTTTTTCAGATCCAAGCCTGAATCTCAGTGTGTCCATTCCCTGAGGCCCCAGAAAACCTGTCCCAGTCAGCTACAGAGTGAGGCCAAGGACACTGTGAAAAGCTCCCTTGCAGGGCAGTTTCCTTCTCTGAAAGACAGGGGTTGCATAATGTCATCAAGCTGCATCAACACCTCTTTAGGGGACCAAACCTAAATCATCCTGGTGGTCTGTGACTTAATGGTGGCATCAGCATGTTGCCCGATTCTCTGAAAGATATTTGGGCCAGGCTGGTCTGTGCTTCCCCTGCCCTGCCAGCATCTGGTGGGCTGGTGACTGGTACTGCACCACAGGGCTTGTACAAGTTCAGTCTCCAGGGATTCTGCCATAGTGTATTTTATGTGGTCTGCAAACCACTGGTTTTCTTAGCATTCCTGGGAATCACAGGGATTGGCTGCCAGAGCTTCCCCTACATGCTGTGTTGCCTAAACTTCAGATCTCCCCAGCTGCAGCCACCCTGCCTGTGGAGACTCTGTGGAGACACAGAGACTCCCACACCAACAGGATCCCTCTGCTGGAGGAGTTAAACCAGCATCCTGAATGACATTCCCTGAGTGGACACAAAAGTCCTGGCACTCACACAGCTTCTCCTGTCCCCACCATGAAGAGGATTAATTATCATAGACCACATGCCTACATTAGCAAACCAAAGCCCATATCCTGCCCAAACCCTCTATTGTACAAACCAAACAGAGGGACAATTGGAAACACATAAACTGGGAGTCCACCGAGAAGCTGAGAGAAAACAGCTTTCACTGCCCTGCAGCAGTAGGCATCTAGCTGATTTCTATAATGTTAATTTGAAATCTATTCTTGAAAAGGGACAAGTGCTTGGTTTTGCATTCTATTAATATGAAGGAAGTATGGAGACAAACAGTGAACTGTGCTTATGAAAATTGGTTTTTGCTCAGTGTAACAGAATACAGTAGTATTACCACAGGGATGAGTAGATCTGTGATATTAGAAACTTTTCCACTAGTACAGTAAGCTGAATTTCAAAGTGGTATGATACACAGTGTACATGTACATCAAAACATAAATAAACTCTACTGCCATCTAGCCAATAATCCAGGTCTCTACCATAAACTTTATCTCAGGTAACAAGTCTACCTTCACCAGATTTGTCAGAATATTTTCATAATTTGGAGTATTTTCCAGAGGTCTAGGTCATGAGTGTAAGTTTGAAACAACCAAATAGTAAGATAAGAAACACTATGGTTTCATGATTCAGCATGTACACACATCCCACTCTCTCTGCTCCAGGTGAAGTGCAGAGGTTAACTCCGTAACACATTTACATGTTCCTGAAGGATGGAATCCCTACTGATGTTTGCTTTCCTATGCTTGTACTTTTCATAGATACAAAGTACTAAGCATCTGTTAACTTAGAGAACAGTCTTGCTCTTCCACTGCTGTCAAGAATCTCACCTGATTTTTGCAGCTCCAGCTTTACAAATGCATACTGAAAAACACTGAAAATATGAATATTTAATATTACAACCAGCTTTGCTTTGTCTTGTTCTTTCTTTCTTAAATTTATGTTTTAGACGTACTACTGTACAAAAGTGTCTTATGCACTTAGAAAAAAACACTCAAAAAACACTACCTCAGATTCCCATACGTAACTCAAAAAGCAGCTGAGCAAAATATCCCCAGTTTGATCTTTATCAGGCTGATAAGCTGGTCTTTTAAAAAGTCTGATGCAAGTGAGTTCCAGGGCCTCCCATCTAAGAGCCTTTTAAAATGTGATTAAAATATTCTATTTCCCCACTGTCTTGAGGAAAATAATGGATTAATTAGTGTGTGCATAATGTTTCTTCCTTTCAACAATTTTTTAAATTCCAAATACATAAGTGAAGGTTTAGATACCGGTATGGGAGGATGGGCAAGTGAATGGGTTAAGGCAGGTCAAGACATCTCAGTTTAAAAGGACATTGAACACATAGCACAGTCTCAAATGGTAATATTGCCATGCCTCACTTGTAGTGTATTTGCATTAAGAGAATTGGAATTATTTTCTTCCAGCCTCAAATGCCTGCCTTTAGTGCATTGTCACCCTTCATCACACTTTGAGCTGTACAGACTGCTTTGTTTGTGTGTTGGAGCAGTGATGCAGTGGCTCCCAGGGTTCTGAGCTCTGTCACTCCTTTGTTTTCTCCATTCATTTTCGTATTACTTCTATTGGTAAAATCAGGATCAGGAATGTACTCACTCTTTCAGAAGATCACTCTGTTCCTGGCTAGTTGATGAAATATGAATGATGGAATAAATGAAGCCTTGAGGAATGCCTCCCAAAGGCCAAGCTGCATCATCAATAGTCTTCTATCATGAACACCTGGGGAAAAAAAATGGTTTATGGCACTGTGAAGCCTTCCATCATTTTGCCATGTTCTGAAAGCAAAGAGGACAGTGCTTTCTACAGGGCACTCCACTGTTCTTGGCAGGAAAGATCTCCAAATCTCTGATTTGAAAAGGATCCCAGTAAATGTAGTGAATCAATTGTCTAGCATTTCCTTGAAATCCATTAGAGCCACTGGATGAGAAGTGCTGCCAATCATACCTATTAGCTAATGCTAATACCTATAGCTAATTAGCTATTAGATTAGCACCTGTTGCTAATCTACTCATGCTGGCAGAAAAGGGTGATCTACCCCAGTCTGCCCTGTTCTTTCCCTATCAGTCAGCACTCTGATCAGAAGCAAGGATACCTCTAGTGATCCAGGGCATGTAGGTGAAGATGAGCAAGGCAGGTACAAAAGCTCAGGTCACTCAAGGTGTCCGGGGAGCTCAGTGCCTACAGATTTGGGCTTCAGCCTCTTGTTCAAAGCATCTAGAATTACTCGAACTCTGATGGCAAGGTCTGAATGAGGTAAGTGTTGAGCTTTAGTAGTCAATAATTTCTTTACTTCAGAACTGATCAGCTTTTCCCACAGCTTACTTACTGCCCCAAAACAACCAACAGAGATATATTTGCTCCAGCTTGGAATCTAAAGTACCTAGCTCCAGAAAGGAACATAAAGTGCTGATTTAACCTTTTGTGCAAAAGCTGTTATGATCTCCAAAATATGATTCCATCACTTCTGAAATGAAAACCATTCTAGGAGTGATTCATTTTCAGAGCAGTCTTTTATTCTATCCAAACTCTCACACTTTTTGGTGGCAAAGCTCTTTCTTTGTAGTGTTGTCTAAACAACATTACACTAGAAGATTTTCTATTTCAGTTAATTAACCTTCTGTTCTGGAAGACAATATTTGCTGTTACAAAATAAAAAAAAAAATAAAATTGAAAGACCAATTAAATCTTGCAAATGTTAGCTGTTTGTCTAAATGGAAACCAGACATGTTGCAGCTCATTGATCCACACTGGTAGTAATGGCACTCAAGGTTTACTGGTGAAAGTTTGCAGTAAAAATAACTAATTTGTCAGTGTTTTCTTTAAATTATTATTGTTTAGTCATCAGAGAATTTTGTGGGATGACGAAGAAAAGCAAAGATAATTCAAGGCAAGTGAAAAAATATGTTTTCACCAAAAAAAGCCTTCTATTGGCATGTAACTTGTATTTTAAAGAAAACTAAGAAGTCTGCTTTCTTTCATTTTGCTCACAGTCCTAATTTGACATACCCAATGACTAACACAATGACATTACAACATTTACATACTCCAAGCCTAAGTGTGCAGTTGAGAATTAGAGTTTAGACACCATAGCTGGTACATTGGGCCAAACTGCTGAGCTCAACTGTTTATCTCAAATCTCTCCACATTATTTTCAAATGCTGACTACCACCTCTCTTAAAAATCACTGGATACAAAAGTGATACAAGAAAAGCATGATCTGAAAGCACTGGCACAAGCAAGTCAATGCAAGTGGAGCATGGCCAGATTTTAGTTATGCACTGTACCTTTCCCATTAATGGCCCTCCACATCTTGCAGCCCTGCCACAGTAAATGTTTTGCTTTGTCTGAAGTAATGAGATGGAGAGAGATGGAAAAAGGCCTGCTTTTTCATTTTGACTAATCTTAATGTGAGTTAAGGAATTTGACTGATGGGAATTAGTGCTAACACAGTTTGTTAACTAAGAAAAGTGTTAATTAGAAATGCTTTTGAACTCAATCTCTGCAATGATATAATATAAAAACTTGCCACATTTTATTTTCTTAAATCTTACTGAATCCATATGAATGGCTGGTCATGGCAAAAGCTATCCAATGTTGATGATAAAGCATTACAAAATCTTCTGTCTAACTTTTATTTATTATACAGCATCTGTCAGTAATAAGTGGAGCTTTTACATTAAAGCAAGTGTTAGCATCTCATAGAGATGAAAATATTGTTTATCTTTCCTAAAATTATTTAATTTGATCTTTAAATAAATAGTTCTCAGAATGAAATCACTCAGAGATAGCCTTGGTTTTGCTGCCATTTGCAGAAAAAAAGACACACAAATTATTTCAACTTCCCATATTGTTAATACTTGCTAAAATCTTGCACAAAGGATACATATGTGGACTTTGATGGGGCATAAAATTGTCTTTTTTTGGGGTCATTTTACATAATTGCATAATGTCCTTCCAAAGAAGCTGAAGAATGCTACTCCCTTACAGATAATTCCATAAAGGTAAGCTACATTTCATAGTACTTTCCAGCTCTCTCTGTCTTGGTAGCACGGTGCAAGATGAGGCCCTGGCAGGCAGAGACTGCCAATAGCCTCTCATCTCCATCACCTGGTTCTCACCACCCTTTTCCTAGTAACAGGGGCTACAACAGTTGTAGGGGACATTACACAGGTTCAGGCCTAGATCCTGGTGCCCTTAGGAGTAAGTAAATTCTGGAGTTATCTGGACTTTCTATAGGAGGGCTCACAAATTTTAGGCTTTGAACTCACCAGCTATCACAGAAGCCAGCCTTTCCTTACTCTTTTATTCCATTTAATTGCCTGGGAAATGGTGGTAGTGGGGTGCCCAATAAAGAACAAGAGAGGAGGCATTCCAGCACAGCTGATGAGGAAGAAGACCACACCCGCACAAATATGTTAATTGCAGCACTGTGCTTGGAGTTCACAGGATGGGGTTCTTGGCAGGTGTAGCTCAGATCACATGGACCAGCTGTGTCTAGAAGCAAGGACTGGCAGAAGAGAAGTGCTGGTGAAAGACGAGCTCCTGCTGAGCAAAGCTGTATTTGATTCTTTATGGTGCCACAGTGTGGGGTCCAGTTTGGATTCTGGAGATGCAGGATAAGAAAAGCTGGTGAAGTAGGAATGATGCAGGTGGGGAAGAGAGAAGCACAGGATGCTCTCTTCTAGCCTGCAGTAAGGAGAGAGTAGCTGCACTTCAGGGTTATGAAAGAGTAAAGGATTTAGTGGGTGACACCATAAGGCATGATAGTGTTCTGTGATATAGCCCTAGGACTGGGAAGTTTAGTCATGGCTGTTCTATAAAGCAGATTTCAGGCACTACCATGACTGAGAGCCAAAATGGAGCAGGAAATAGTCGTTACTCCATGTACTTCTTTCCAAAATGTGCTTACTGAACCAGATCTATTGGGGGGTGAATATGCTCAATAAAAAGGTTGAGAAAGAAATGAGGGGGAAATAAAGTCAAAGCAACAGTTTCAGTACAGTCTATAATGTGGCAATTTAGTTATTCTGCCATTAGACATCACCTAAAGAAAATCCAGCTAAAAACTAAAAGTTCACTGAATAAGACTACCAAGGCCAAAGAAGTATAGCCCTAGCCATTAAATTACTCCAATTCTAGTGCAGCTTACACTTATTTTTAAAAATAATATCTTGTTTTTAAAAAAAATAAACACACCATGTCTTTCCACCTCTTTTCATCAATATTTTCATTGCAAACTCTGGCATACAAGCTCAAGTCTGTTTACCCTCTATGGTGCTAATGTTTGTTTTTAATGGATTAGAAACTTTTTTTTTCACTAGTAATGGCATAATATTTCAAATCCTACTTATTTAGACCTTGCTTTGTTTGGCTGTTGAGAAATGTTAGCAGTTAGTGCTCAGCACTACTGTGCAAGTCACTCTTTCTGGATGGTGGTAGAAGTAAGGACTGCTACAGAAGCAGATCTCCATGGAAGATTTTATAACCTTAGGGAAACTAGTCCTTTTGTGCCAGAAGAAAGATACAATGATGCAGGATCTGAAAATGCTAGAGAATTGAGTGGAGAAGGGGAGTTTAGCTTTCTGGAAGACTGGGAGAATGTCTTTGGATTTCTTCCTTTAAGGAGAAATAGAAAAACTTGTGATCTGTTTTGGAAATGATCAGGAATAAAACCTGAGATACCTGAATTTCGATTTTTTTTTGCTGGCTGATAGCAGTGGTCTACTTCCAAAATTCAGTTACCTAGAGACAGTAGAACTACAATCCAAATGCAGGAATCTTTCTTTAAAGAGACTGTTGCACAGCATCCAGCTGGAATTTGGAAGTAATTTTACTGACAGATGATAATGGATTTCATTTTGAGCTTTGCCAGGAATCCTTATGCCATTTGCTACAGAAAGGAAAAAAACATTCTCCTTGCATATGCATGCACGTGGGAGAGCATACTAAGAAAGCATCTTTTCCAAAATTAAATACAGGGCCTTGCAAGTTTTGAGATTTTTTTTGTGGTAAAACAAAGTTGGTGGAGACTCTTAAATGTAAACGCATTTATATACAGAAAGTTTGATATGTTCTGTATGTTATACTTGTGATAAACAACAGAGGCTACAAACACTTATAACTCAGTGTGGCTGGGAACATTTGAGTGAAAAGACCACTGACTGGCCAGACACCCACTAAATGCAAGAGCTGCAGGGAGAAGGGAATATCTATAACTTGCTTTGCTTTTGGCCATGTTATTAGATGGACCAGCTTAAATAGGTAAGGCCCAGAGTGTGCAGAGAGTGGCCAAGCACTGGAGGGCAGGCCCTGCCAGGTGGTAGATGGACTTGTCTGAATTGCATTGTCTTTACAATCCAGCTGTTCCCTTTCCCTCTAGCCATCCCTGCAAGCCCTCATAGCTCAGCAAACATCTAGCAACCCAGAAGGCCCATTGCAGTCTGAGGAGAGGTTGTTTAATTGTCTCATAATTAGAACTCAGTCTAATGAAGAAGTTACTTTGGCACTAGAATAATAAGAGCATCATGTCATATTCAGAAGGGGAATGTGTTAATATATTTACACTTGGCTTAACCTTTACCCCTTTCAGGGCACATGCACTTACAATTTACTGATGTAGAAATAACCTTTCTAGATCCTAAAGCCAAAACAGATACTTGGTCCAGATCCACAGGGCCAATTCAGCCCATGTGGGAAGCTTTATGCAAATTACATAAACAAATTTAGAGACTAAGAAATAAATTATAAAGAATCATTTGGTGGCCAGAGCAGCAACTGTAGGCAAAGACCTCCTACATCCAGCTTGGTATGTGAGAGTTCAGGGAGGCTTTGGTAACACATGCTATAGCTGTCAAATCTGTGTAACTTGTGAGACACTTGTGTCCTGGGGGTTGCAAACTTCAAGCAAAAGCTGTTCCCAGCCCAGATGCTGCCGTGCTATGAAACTGGAAAGGAAAGCAAAATGAGTTTTATGTTCCTCCCTTTCTTCCTTTCTGAGGGGAAAAAGGGCTGAACAATGTTCTCTTGGGGGGGTGGGGGGGTTAAGGGGGAGGAAGTGTGCTTTTTTCTTTTTTCTTAATACCTTTCTTCTTCTTTTAGAAATATAAGGAGGATGAAAGGCTGTTTCCTTAGCAGTGCTGAGGGCCATGTTAGCTGTTCAAGACAACTTTTCTGGCCAGTTTTAGAAAACAGAAACAGCTTTCTGAAGCCATAATTCAGGAAGCCTCCCTGTTTCAGCAACATTTAAATCTTATGAAAGCAGTATAAAGCAATTAAGTGTTTTCTTAAGGACTCAAGCAAAGAGATTCTGTTTACTTCCCAACTAAAGCTGAGAAGGTGATGGTTCTTACTGAAAAGATAATTTTTTCCAAATAATTTTCAAGAATTTAAAATAAGCACATTTTTAAAACAAAACAAGCAGGATTAAAATTAAATTCCCCTCTCAGTTAATAAGGCTTTAATTAATAAGAGTCAAAACCTTTACTGGTTCTTTAGACAGCCATAGTATTTCAGAAAATATCAAGTAGAAAGAAAACCTGACATGTAAAACTAGTAATACCTTTCCACTCCCCCACTTCACTGTAGAACAAGGAAGTGCAAATGTTCTTTAAGTTGCCCTAAAAGAAAAGGCAACCAATGTTCCTTCTCTTCCTGAAGGAGGTAGAGTATACCTAATTTTTAAACACTCCTATACTACTATGAAAAGTGTAGGCATGCAGACATGCTATTGTGTCTAGCTACTCCACAGTACACTACAGAACTGTAATGTAATAATAATACTCCAGCATTAACCATGCATGCTTTCTTACCCTGCTGTATAAACTCACAACACACAGGCTTGTTAACCTGTCTCCCAGGGAAAGGTGAGCTATGCTTTATTTACATAGAGTATTATTTAGAATTGCAAGTGTACTGTAAATTCATGCCTTCCACACATGTATTTACTCCACACATGTATTCATAAGTGGTGTTTTTTAATAAGCCAAAAAATTAAAGGCTGATCTTGGCATTTTTATGTTGCCACTCTCCCTAAAAAAATCTCACCATAAATATTCCTGTCACACACAGAGTTATCACAGATAGTCCCTTTAACTCTTGCATTAGACCAAATTTCACTTCTTGGAAATGTCCAGTTTACATCTGCACATTCCTGTTTTCTGTGAAGGTACCCCAAGCTGCATACTGTCTCTCTGAATCTGAAATTTGCCTATTCCTCTAACCTGAGGCTTATCAGTATAGCTGAATTACATTCAGGTTTGCTAATACAAGTTTTGAGATTGCAGCAGCTTCATATTTTAGTTATCAGAAGGAAGCTGAAGTTTTTCAGATGGTTCAGCTGCAAAACATGCAGCTGGGTGTTGTGCAGACCATTTGGAGGAAACAAAGGCTGTAGTTTCCCATATTTCTGATTTGTCTGTCTGTTTCACAATTTAACCCAGGGGGCTTCAGTGATCTGGTTCACAGCTTGGCCTACAAGCATCTTTGGCAGCACAACAAAATGGACAGGGACAAGCAGCCAAACAGGACATGTCTTCAGCTGACTTCACTGATGGATAACCCATTTTATACATTACAACCTTTTGTAATAGAGCATAAATACAATTTCTTCCTCTCCTTTGTTTGTGAGAGTGGTGGAGGTAATTTTAAATGAACTGGTATAAAGTCCTAGTGATCAGCAGTCCTACTTCAGCTGGACTTGCTATCTGCCACAGCAGCCAACAATAAACAAGTTATCAAGATGAATTTTCTATGGTGGTCAGCAGAACAAAACCATTTCCTTCAAATAGTTCTTATGCATCAGGCAAACCCACAGTAGATATAAAAAGGCCAGCTCATGGTTCTCACAGCTACTGTTTATGTTCTCAGAGCTGTTGGCTGGCTAACATCAGCCTCTCTGGTTTTTAACCTTCCAATGATCTGAGCATACAGATCCAGGTATGGGCATAATGAAACAGTTATCATTTCCCACCAAATTCCTGGAAATGCACATTCCACCCACACCATCAAGATCTGGGTGCACAACCCTTTCCTGTCACTCCTCCTGAAATTTATATTTATTCCTGAAAACTGAGCCATGAAAAATCTAAAGGGTGGTTCATATTTAGGATATTTAGAAACATTATCTGTGCATTCAACCCCAAACCTCTCTACTGCTCTGCTACATCAGCTGATCCTGTCCCATTTCTCTTTTCCATACTCTTGTCAGTGCACCTCTGTGGGCATGGGCTGTGTATCCAATACTTTAGTGAAGAATAAGGATATGGTGGGAATGTCATACAGCCTGTTTCTTTGAACAACTGAAGCCTGATTTTTGTTGTTGTTGGTTTGGGTTGGGTTTTTTTTGTGGGCGATAAAAGGAAAACTCAAAAAAAGAAAAATGGATACCAGCCAAGAGATGGGTTGGGGAGAAATGTTAATGGATGTTGGCAAATCTACTGTGCAGCTTTCCCATGTTATTAACTGTATCACTATTTAGAAATTCTGGGAAGATACCTTTCTGCAAATTAAAAAGATGAGAGATTTGCCTGTTACATCCCCTACGAAGCTAAATTCCTATTCCTTCACTAAAGCTGTGTAATGAAAGGTGTTTTATACAGCACACACACTAGGTCAGTATCATCCCAGAATGAAATCCTGACTAAGGCAGTAACACACTGCACAGCAGGGTTTTAAGCTCTGACGAAAATAAAATAAAGATTTGGAGGCTCTGAGCAACCCCGGTCGGTATATGGGGGTGGGGGAAGGGCAGCATGTGGTTTGGGGTATTTTCACCAAATGTTAAATCACACAGAATATTTCACTCGTCTCCAGTGTGAGATCACGACATGACTCCTCTGTAATGAATTCTTTATCTTGGCAGCTCTCCTGTTTTCTCCCAACAGTGCCTCCCTCTCCCCTTCTGGTCCCAGTGCCGTAACATATGGTAGTATTTGGAGAGCCACTTGGGCCTGGGAGCTGGCCTGGCTGCCCACACCTGCGTGCCCCCTGCCTCGCCACTCAGGTCACGCTCCAACACTTGGGCCTGAGCTTGCTCCTTCACCCTCCTCAGGGGCACGCCGGGTGCTGCCATGTGGCTCTGGGGATGACATGTGTCACTTGGTGCCCTGGGGATGAGATGTGTCACTTGGTGTCCCTGTGAGCGTGTGTCACCCCAGAACTCCCCACGCAACCTTGATGAGGCTTCTCCTTCAGGTGGCCGTGATGGGGGCCACTCATTGTCTCAAAAATGACGATGGAAGTACCCAAAAGCCCCAAGAGAGTGCACAGAATCCATTGGGTTAGAAGGAACCACAGTGGATCATCTGGTCCGACCTCCCATGGCACAGAGTTACATCCCGATGGTTCTTGCTTCTCTCCAGTGAGTGAGACTCCACAACCTCTCCAGGCAACCTGCCGCCCGCACAGCAAAGTTCGCACTCACATTCAGGTGCAACTTCCTGGGCATCACTTTCTGCCCGCTGCCTCTTGTCCTGCGGCTTGGCATCACCGAGCAGAGCCCGGCTCCATGCTCTGACACCCCCTCTAGATATTTACAGACACTGGTGCTGTCCTTCCCGAGGCCGAGCAGCCCCAGCTCCCCCGGCCGGGCCCAGCGCTCCCCGGGCGGGCCGGCTCCGCGCGCGGCCGCCGTCTCCGGGGCGACGCCTGAGGCCGCCGCGGCCGCCGCACCGCCATGGGCCCCAAGCAACCCAAGTCCGGCCGGGAGACGGCGGTGTCCGGGCTGCCGAGCTGGGAGCCCGCGCTGGTGTCCGCCCGCCTCGAGGAGGTGAAGGCAGCCGAGGGGCAGAGCCGGCGGCGCGGGGGAAGCGGGGAGCGGGCTGCAGGCGGCCCGGGGGTCGCGGCTGCCGGGGGCTCCAGGAGGGCCCGGGCAGGGCCGTGAATGGTCCCGATGTGCGGCGGAGCCCCCCTGCCCCTTTGCCCCCCGGCACCGAGCGTGGCCTTGCGGGTTCCTTTGCTCCTCCTCGCCTCGGCACTTTCCTTTCTGGGCGCTGGGTGCCAAGTTTCGGCTCGGAGTGAACTTTTTATAAACTGCTGAACAACGAGGTTTGATGGAGGTGCTGACACAGCATTAACTGTAGCGTTGAAAATGTGAGGCTGTAATTTTCCTGCCCGAGTGTGTGCAGCTAAAAGGCACTTTTTTCCCTCCTCCTTTTTTTTTTTTTTTTTTTAACAGTGTGAGGATCTAAAGGCATATTTAGATTTCCAGGTTCTGTGTAAGCAATGTAATTCTCATAAATCTTGACTTGCTAGAGAGAATTTAGTTTCAAAATAGGGTGGTAGTTTAGCAAACAATAATATTTATCTCACGTGTGTTTATCTAGCACGGCTTCTGCAAGTGAGACAAATTGCTTCCGTGGTTTCCTTGTTTTCTGGATTCCTGTTTTTTTTTTTTGTTTTAGCTGATGTGGGTTTGTGTTTTGTTGGTTTTGTTTTTTTTTTCTTTTAATATGCCAGCAACATTGGTTAAATATGAGGAACTTTTAATTCAGGAGGAGGCTTTTAAACTGGCTAATTGCTTTTCCTGAAAAGGCCACAGATGTCCAAAAATCTCTTAAATATTTACTTGCTTTTACTTTTATTTGGTAGTAACGATATAATACAATTAGCCAAACAAGATCACTTTTTGAATTGCTTAGGCTGTTGTTTCCCATTTTTCCCTAGAACACAGATTTTTCAGTAGACTTCTAAGATGCTTGAGCCCTTTCTTACTTGTGAATCTTGTTCCTACGCTTGGGAAACGTCCCTGAAGCATAAGAATGGAGTGAAGGTTCAGTCTCCATCACCTTCTCTGTTCCTGGTCTTCTTCCAGTGCTTACTAGCAAGGTGCCAATTAGTGATTAGGTTTTTTTATGGTGGTGTTTATTGTGGCTGTGGATATTGTGCAGTGAATTCACTGAACAAGGTGCTTTGTATGCTCTACTGCCTCTAATGTAGTTTATTACATTTCTTAAATGCAAACCATTATATTGAAGTATTTTTAAAGGTAGGAAATAAAATGCTCAAAAGTTAGTAAATGTCAAAGTTGGTATTATTCTGGACCACTCATTGAGGCAGATAAAAAAAAAAAAGTTGAATGTTCACTGAATGGGGCAAGAATTCTGTAGGGAAAGGTATGTGATCAACTAATTAAAGATTATCGTAATTCCTGTACCCGTGGGGGCTGACTTGAGATTCCCTGTTTCCATAATTCTGGTACTGTTTGACTGCTTTCTATTCCAGTGAAGCTAATTTCACTTTCTCTGCCATACTGTTCCTTGGGAAGTTAGGAAAAACTGTCCCCTTGCTGCGGTCACCTTGAACTCAGGCTTCTGAGCTGCTGGGCAGCCACTGAAATTTCTTACTGCAGGAGTGTTCTTATTCAGCTCTTAGAGTCATGGGCAAGAGCACACTCAGTGCAAAACTGTCAAATGCCAGCAAATCTCTTCTGAGCATGTGTGAATCAAGATTCATCAAGTGTGGCCAAATGTGGGTGTACATAATGTAAATAAACATGCTCTGTAAAAGCAAATCTTTGACACAAGTACGGCTCTGCTGCCAAATTTAATTCCTTCCTCTTGAACACAGAGAGCATTGAATATCTTAACTACTTAATCACATAGGGGTTTTTATTAAAGGATAAACATGATTTTTAAAAATCAAATCTCATTCTGCAAATAGTCTAACCACACTTTCCCTCCCCCACCCACCCTACCCCAGTAATTATGCAACATACAAAGTTTAAACTCAGATATATAAAGCTCAGGATCTGAAAACAGTCTGTAAAAGAGAGTGTTGAACAGCTTGAATTTTAGATCTCACCAGACATAGTGCAAAAAACTTATTTCTTACTCGTCTTTAGTATTGTATATGAAATACCATATGAATTGGAAATTATTTGGGAGATGACAGGAACTCCTGTCAAATAAATAAATGTCTCTCCTCATAATTCATATGTAAAGAATTTTTAGATCTGCTTGTATCAATTTGAAAAATATTCTTTCCCTTTATTGAAGGCAAAGGGAATTTACTATAACTGGTTTTAAATTGTACCAGATAGACTGAGTGGTGAAATTTCATATTTTAATGTGTTTATGACTTACACTATTTTATTAGTTCAATCTATGAAAAGCATTTTACCAGTGCTGTTAAGATTTTTATGAACAGGTATACTAACTAAAATATGATTTAAATGGTATTTACTAACCAAATAATAGCTTTTACTAAAGGCACTGTGAAAACTGGCAAGCACACAACTTAAAAATACATACAGAGAAAATATGGATTTTCCAGAGCCTCACATTATAGTTTATGTATATCTTTCTTGTTTGTAATGTGCTATGCAGAAGAACATGGAGTTGCAAACTGTATTTGCCTTCAGATATTTATCATCTATTTTGGTTGGGCTCACTACAGAATTAAATTGCAAAATATAAATTAAGATTCTTAAGTAGTTTTAAACTTTACATGTGTTAAGTAGCTAAAGGGCAATATTTGCGAAATGAATGGTGAATTCTGAGCAAATAGAGCCCTTAATTGAAATAACTGTCATTTATTATTTGTTCTTATTAACCTATATAACTAAGCATAGCAGCAGGAAGCATGTTCTGTGCTGACTTTCCATCTGTATGATTTCTCTCATTTCATTAGCATTTTAGGGCCTGAAAATTGAACTTAAAATCTTGTGAAACCTCTAAAAATGTTCTGAATAGGATGGCTCCGCTTTTGGTTGCTATTCATACTGCTTCCTCTTCAGAGAAAAATTAATGCTCTCTTGAGCTTTGATATTCTCTCACTTGCCCATGTTGAATAGCAAAAGCTCAGGCTCTTAAGAACAAAAGGCATTAGTAAATATGTGGGTGTGTCATCAGCAGTGAAAATGGGTCTGAAGATTTCCAAGCAGTGATCTTAAGGCTACAAAACTTCTGATAAGCAACTTTTCAGAGTAATGCCTGTTGTATTTACTGGTTTACAAGCTCATTCATTGTTGAAAGTAAAGAGTGCTAGAGTTGTTACTACTCTAATTGTTCATAAATTACTAATATGTTTGATGCTCAGATGTTTTGAGTTTTCGAATGTTTCTTCTCACCCTTAGGGGTAAATTTGAAATTCTGCTGTAATGAAATGAATTTACTAGTTGCTGTCCTAAGAGAAAAAAAAAACCCAAACAAACAACCAAAAAAGCAACCAAACAAAAAACCAATAAACCCCACAAAGTAAGTACCAGAAAAATAAAATTACATATACCCAAATTGTCTGGAAATAGGAGGAGGGTAAGATGGCTGCTTGATGCTTTTCTTGGCCAAAGAGATCTAGAAACTGGTACTGGAAAAATAAACAATATACCTGACTTGTTCAACTGTCTTCCCTAGAACAGCTGGCCTTTTGTGTCTAGGAAATGAAGCAGAGAAAACAAGATACGTATAAAAAGGAGGGAAAAAAATGGTGTGCTACATCTGCTTTTTTTTTTCAATGTGAATTAAAGTTAGATATTTTCTTAATGTACCTATGCTATTCCAGTACTGCTGTGATGAAGATATACAGGCTATGTGTTCTGGCTTTTAAGAGCTGGGAAAATCACATTACAGAGGAACACAATGGAGCCTTGAGAGCAAAATCGTGAGAAGATGAGGCATCTTCTGTGTTTTGTGAAAGCAGGGATTTTGGACAGCCATTTGCTGCTTACATGGAGCTTCCAGAATTAGGTTGATCTTGTGGATTTGGACCCTCTCCAACTGAGGGGCATAGAAGTTTCCCACACAGATGGTTATTTCTAACACCAAGAGACTTTGGTGAATTTCAACTCTTAACATGGCCAGGAGTTTTAAAACCGGGACAGTGTCATTTGTAGCAATGGTTGTCACTGGATGTTTTCCAGTGAAAGTGATCTGACCTGCCCTTAATTGGAGTTTATTTCAGATTGCTTAAGCAATATTCAGTTGCGGATGCCACATTTCCAGCTTCAGATTTTTTTAAATTCACATTTGAACCAGCATTGTTGATTCTGTGGGATATCTGCTCCCTGCATTTTGGTCTTCTTTGTGCAGTTTGTAGTGCTCATGTTAAATTCTCGGTGGCAACCTCCCTAGACTGTTTCCATGATTTTCCAGTAGTTATTTTTATGTTTTTTTCTATCTTGTTCATTAAGCTGGGAATGTCATTTGAGGTAGCCATAGGGTCACTAATCTATCCTCTTTCAGATCCTTTCTCAAGCCTTCATACTACAATAACATTTGAAAGAATAAAACTAAGTAGAGGACCAGTTGTATATTGAGGGAGAAAATATTTTCAGAGTAACCATATACATTTTACTACTTTTCCTTCACATTTTTATGTTGTGATTTTAGGTGGTGAGCTGTGGAAGCAGGGTCTGTTTCTTCTCTGTCCTTTCAGTGCCTTGAACATTAAGGATACTGTTACAGGATCGATAATATAAAGGCAGTATTGCAAAAATATTAGATTTTTAACCTCAGAAAATAGTCTAATCAATTAAACACCTTAAGCTGTGTATTTATGCTGCACATTGACTGTTGACTTCAATTCATGTTCTCAGTGTGCAGCTTTTCTGAAAAATTATCTTTAAGGGCTTCAGAA